TACCCTCACCACCGTCCAAGGCCTTCCGCACAGCCCTCAAGAACTGGCTAGCCCGTCAGGTCTGGGGCCTTTTTTCGCCCCTCTCGAATGTTGAGTGAATGTTGAGTTTTATTGTTTAATTTAATTTATTTTTGTTCACATTTCTTTTTGCACTGTCCTACACTCCCTTTCCTTTGTGATTGTAAGCCGCCCTGAGTCCCCTCAGGGAAAAGGGCGGCCTATAAATGTTCAATAAATCCTAAATCCTAAATTGCTAGACACATCATTTAATGTCATGACTTCATCTGATTGACATAGCCAAAAAATGAATATGAATCTATAGACAGGCAAAAACTGCAAATTTGGACAATTCCCACCCCTCCCCCAACATACACATGCATTACCAGAGGGGGGAGGGGGGAGAATGTATGGCAAAATACAATGGATCAGGCATACTGTCCCAGAATGCATTTAATAATATAATTTATAAGCCTTCAAAATATGTACAACCTTCATTATTTTTAAAAAAACTACTTCAGTAACACTAGGCAAGCATTATGTTCCATATTAATTCTAGGAGAAGATTGAAAACAACTAGAAGTTAATATTTTGCCCGACTTCAGAAACAAGATCTCCAATGCATATTGCCTGGTAACTGGAAACACTTTTCTTGGATTTTTGGTCTCATACACACCAAGTTCAACAAATGCGGGGAGGGGTCCTAGCGGTGGAACGCAATCTGGGGGACACGAACAGCTGGTTATTCAGGGGGTCGCCGCTATCGGGCGACCCCCGGTCCACACGACCGCCCGTAGCAATTTCTACAGCGCTCAGTGGCAAAAATGACGAACATGGCGGCGCCGCGTTGACGGCGCCGTTCCCAGCAGTTTTTTACAGCTTTAGCCCTGCTTCTTCTTCTGACCGGGAGGAGCCCTGGAGGGTAGTTGACTGTGGAAGTGCCTTTACTTTCAGAGAGGAGGGGGATGGTTTAGAACGACACTGGACAAGGTCGGGCAGTTGGTTTGTTTGCCACTGCTGTGGCTTCCTTAGGCACCCCCTCCCTCTGCTTCATCGATTTGCGATACGCGACGCTCCCGACATCTTTTGACACCTCCTGCTCTCACTCCTGTGACCTTCAGACTACATCCGGACTGCATTGGACTATCCCAGACTATTTCAGAGAAGGGGTGGTCATCCTGGCATGGTGCTGGAGGAGAGCAGGCAGCTGGCTTTGTTACCACCACGGCCCTTTGGGCGCCCCCCCCATTCCATCTAATTTGGCCTTCTCTGTGGTGCGGCCTCTCCTCTGTTTGCCCTCATGGCTACGAGGCCTTTTTTGTCATCGGGCTCCCTCTGCTCACGGCTGCTGGATTCTTGGATTTACGACTGGTCTCACCTGGTGTGACCACTGCCGCCCGTTGCTGCTCAGGATGCCGCTACAGCCCTTTTAGACTTTTTTGGACCCCTTGCGACACCATCCTACTGCACAGAAAAAAGGGAAGACTAACTATCCTCCCTCCATATCATCGCTAAACTTTATCTAGCTGAACTTTTATGACTCCACCTATAAACTTTGCACAATTTTAACAGCTGCACAACTTTCTATATGTGGCGTGCTTGTGGTATGTATGTGAGTGAGTGATCCCACGCTTTTAAAATTAATTTAACTGCATTTTCTATTTTATTGTATTGTTGTATTTTTAATATTATAGTCGGGAATGCATGTGGAGAATGCCTGGCAGGTATGTATGAGGGGATTGAGAGTACGGCCTGGAGCCCCCTCCACTGAGTGCAGAAGCAGAAGTGGGTGGGGGCCCGGATCTGCCTCTCATCCCAGAGCGTATGGTATGAATGGCCTGCCGAGAGGAATGAGGACTGTGGGAGGAGGGGGTAA